CAATTAAATTATAGAGATCTCTATCGAATTATTTTAGTATTAGTTTTATTATTTTAGTTTTTAGAAATTCAATTTATGCTATACTTTTTATATATTTGTTTTTTAATATCTACTTTTTATCACTAACTTGTGTGTTTGTGGTATAATTATTTCAATAAATATTTCTTAAAAAATGTTTAAAAAAATAACCATATTTATTCATGTATTTTTATAAAATAAAAATTCAAAAAGGTGTTTGTGACGGTTGCTACATATTATGATGATTTAAATATTAGTGGAACTCCCGAAGAGATTCTAAATAATATAGGTTAGCTAAAAAGAGAATTTTATATGAATACCTTGGGCAATAAATTTTTATATCAACTTGCAGTTCAAGCACTTAGAGAATAATATTTCATTCATTTGTCAATTTACATTAAAAAAAGTTCTACAATTATTTTATATAAAGATCATCCATTGACTAGCCCAATGATAGTTCATTTACTTGATATCCAAAAACACCCTTTTTTACCTCAAGAAGATAACCAAGAACTAATTGGTCGTGAAGTACCATATCTTATTGTTACTCGGTGCATTGATATATCATACCAATAATATTCGACCCGAAATGGTCTTTTATATAAATTTATTAGCAAGTCATAGTTCTACTCTAATATAGAGATTGGAATGGAATTAAGAATTTCCCATGTTATGTTCGTGAAAAATTTGATATGGTATTTATTTTACTTAAATAAATCAAAGTCGAGTTTAATTGGTTATGTAGACACAAGTTATTTATCCGATCTATACAAAACTCGATCACAAACAAGTTATGTATTTACACTTTGTGGTACAACTATATCATGATGTTCTATGAAGCAAGCTATAGTTATTAAATATTTAAACCATGTAGAAATGTCAATTCATGAGGCAAGTCAATAATGTGTTTGGTTAAGATCAACGATCCATCATATCTAAGAGATATGTGGTTTATCTACCAAGTAAAAAGTTTCAACAATATCGGATGAAAATAATAATACTTACATGATTCAATTAAAGCAAGAATTTGATCAAGTGGCAATACAAGTAGATTTTTTCACTAAGGCATTACATATCACAACTTTTGAGAAGATAATTCACAAGATTGAAATACATAGTCTTAAAGATCTCAAATGATGGTTTCAACAAGAGGAGGATAACATTGAGATTAATGTGTACAAGGAATATTATACCTTTTTTTTCTTCAATAGGATTTTTTTCCTAGTAAGGTTTTAACAAGATATTTTCTTATACAATGGACATTCAAGAAAGAGTGTTATAAAACAATGAATATCCATTTGAATGTTCATATACTTTTCATATCCCTACTACCACAATTCTTAATGTGATTAAATTCATCATTCAATATGAGAAATTGAAAGGGTGATGCAATTGATTCAATAATTTATGCACTTTTAATTATTTATAGTCTTTTCCAATTCTTTTCTCACTTTTAAAGCCTATAAATAGGCTTAATTATTCATCAGTTTGAATACAAGTATTTTTTAGAGAACAAGATATTATTTGGAGTTGTTATCTCTTATATTCTATTTATTTCATAGTGAAATCATTTCTCTAATATTTTTCTCTCCTATTCTATTATTGTTACCATTTCTTTCATAACACTTATTCACTTAACACATAATTAATCAAATTAGCTTAATTAAAATTAAGCTATCTCAATTAGAACTAATTTGGATTAATTAATTAAGTTAATAAATTCAAATTAACATAATTCATTTAAACCAGATTTAAATTAACATAATTAATCAACTAACAACTAATTTAAACTAAATTTAGTTTAAATTTAAATTAACATAACACAATTCACCCTACTTAAATTAACTTAATTAATCAACTAATAATTATTTTAAATTAACCCTAATTAACACTAATTAACTCTAATTTGAATTCAAATTAACATAATACAATTCAACCTAATTAATCAACCAATAACTAATGTAATTTAACCTTATTTGAAATTAGCCTAACTCAATTAATACTAATTCAGATTAATTAATTAAATTAACAAAAAAATCCTAACAACTAAAAAAAGCAATACATTAATCAACTAATTAATCAAAACTATCCTAACAATTAATACAAATAACTAATGAGTATGAAAAGAAAATAAGAGAGAAAAAGAGAACTAATAATGGGGGAAAGTAGTTGGGGAGAGGATTGAATAGATGAAACTCTCTATTTTTTTGGAAAGAAAGAAGTGTTGCGTCGATTGGAGGATGTCGAGGAGGGAGTGGAGATACCTTAGGTCGTGTTTTTAGGGCTAGGCAATCGGTGGCAACAAGAAGAGGAGAGGAGGAGAGGGAAAGAAGAAAAAGAAAGTAGGGAAGAAAAAGAGTTTTTACTAAACTAATTTAGGGATTGAGAATTAGTGACGAATGTGATTCCGTCGCCATCCATCGCTAATTAGTGAGGGATTTAAGTGTCCTTCACTAATACAAAATTAAATTCATTATTTTTATTTTTTTGAGATTTTTTGAATGGGGAAATTAGCTATTTAGCAATAAAATCATATATTTCGTCACTATTTCATTGCTAATTAGTGAAGGATTTAAGTTTTCATCACAAATTAGCGATAGAATTTGAATTTTAAACTATTGTTTCATTTTTTAAGATTTTCAAAAATGGGAATTAGCAATGGAATTGCTATCTCGTCGTTAATTCTCCTCACAACTTTGTCATTATTTCGTCATTAGATTAGGCACGTACTTCTCGTGCTAGTTAGCAAGAGAAATCTAGCCGTCGTTAACTTTTCATCATAATGGTATCTTAATTTTGTTTCTAAACTTATTGGTCGTCATTCTATCATAAAACCATTGCAAAAGAGCAATGGTTATGTGTCTGTTGCTAATCTGTAGTTTTCTTATAGTAACTAGGGAAGATTTTATTGTCAAATTTAGCAATGGATTTGTGTCTATCGTTAAAACACTATCGTTATTTTATCGCTACTTTCTTTTTATTTAGCGATGCAATTTATCAATGGACTTGATTTTATTGCTAACTTTTATCGCTATTTAGCAAATTTCTTGTATTGAATATCGATTTGATATCTTTCACACACTTTTCCATTTATCGAATATGTGTATAGTTTACCGACCCAAATGTGAATCTAAATCACAAGGGATGGATATAATTAATACCTTTTAGCTTTCGATCTTACCAATGCCTAGAGTATAAGGCTTATGGTTCAAATGGAATCCCCCACCTAATGACATTTATAAATTAAACATAGATGGATCGGCTAAAGATGGGATATGTATAGAGCGTGGAGTTATTCGATCCAATACTTGGTCGGTTATTGCTAGTTTCTCGAACTATTATTGGATAGGTTCTAGTATGAAAAGAGAGACATATGCTTTACTCAATAGGCTTACATTATGTCAAGAACTACAACTTCAATTGGTTTGCGTGGAATCCGATTCTATAATAGTAATAAATACCCTTCGAAAAAGATTGAGTGGTCTTGAGAATATGTTTAGCAACTACGATAGCGTTAGGTTGTAAAGGTAGGTAACAAGATTTCGCATGTCCTTCGGGAACAAAACATAGTGGCGGATAAGCTAGCTAATCTAGAATACAATTATGTAGGTAATAGGATTTCTATACTTACCATGATTTGTCCGTAGAGATTATAATTGTATGTAGGAATGATCATATGTGTATTTACAATTATCATGAGTAAACTATGTTGTTTTTCTTTTAAGGGTTATGGTTCTTTGACCCTCCAAGCTAGGGTTAAGGCCATATTGTCTCTTTTATGTATTTTTTCCTTTTATTTATAAAATCAGCCAAGTATCTACTCATGTTTGCTTTTTAAAGAAAAAAATACTTATCAAAAGAATATTAGGCCATAACTATTTTTTTATATAAACAAAGACACACTTAATAAATATGGCCTATCCACAACAATTATGGATTTCTAAACACACATGAGTCCATAACAAATATAGTTATCAATCCTAACCTAAGCCTAATATTCGACCAACTAAGAAAATAAACCAATTCACTAATTAATTAATTTAGCTCAAATGCATAATATAAAATGACTCGAAATAATGCCCAACAAAATAAAAGTCTTTAAACAATTAAGACATAAATAAATAATTAAAATAAGATAAAACCCTCAATCTAAGAAGTATAAAACTCTCAGTCAAGTCTTGTGTACATATACACATTCTCATGTCATTTTGTCTCTCTTAAGAATCTAGAGGAAGGCAGAGTTAACGTGAGTTAACGTCCTTTGTTTATCTGACAGTATACCAAAAAGAGGCCCTACTTTATCACTCTAAGAGTCTAAAGGCAGAGTTGGACTTCCTTCTTGATATATATATATATATATATATATGTCGTGGGTGAAAAATTCTGAAACGTTGCTTGTATATATGAAAAAACAAAAAATCCTTCAAGTACTCTTCATAATTAATGGCTTTTGCCTTCGCAATATATGGAAAATATTTCTAAGTTGCTTTGGATAAGTTCAAAAGCGTTGGATTCAATTTTTTTTTATCTGAAACAAAATTTTGTGTGATTTTGAAGGTTCTAAGATACAAATTCGAATCGAATATTGACATTTTAGAAATTAAAAATAGCTATGATCAGAACAAATTAAATATATTCGAATTAACTGAATATTTTGTAGAAATAAAAAATATCTAATACATGCAAATTAAAGGCGGTACCCATACAATGGACCAAAACAAATTAAGATACCTCATGCCGACAGTAAAGTTCTTCAAATACCCCCAAAGTGTACAGATCAAGAGACTCCCGTTAATTTCCTACACCTGCAAGTAACCCTTTCAACATCTTCCCTTCTCAAAATCCACCATCAAGAAAACCTCAATAATAGGCATATCATATCCTTTTGAATATTAGCTAGCTAGCTAACCATGGCAGGTGAGCTTAAGCTTGTTAAATATGACTGCAAGCCAAAGCCATCGGCTCTCTTGAACTCTTTCTTCATGTCCACAGTAAACGTGGCTGCAAAAACACTTGTTTCTGTGGCATCAAAGGTAAAACTAGAGCACTCAGAGAAGTGGAGACCAAGTGATCATTTAAGGTTCATGGTTATGTTAATGACTTGGGTCACTGTTTGGGTACTTAGGGTTTTGATGGATCATTTTCCTTTTCCTATGACTTTGTCCCCTCATTATCTTCTTAATAGCTTCTCCTCCATTGGATCATCATTTCCTTTGGCGCTTCCATCATCATCAACTTCTACTCCTGCAGTGGATTTGATTTTTCAAGATGATATTGATGGACCATCCGTTCAAGCTCTTGGTAGAGCACTAACACATGTAAGTATATTTGCTTAATTGCCTTCATGTTTTTTTTTTTTTTCATTAATTTCTGGTAATCATCAATTCCTTTTTATGAAAAAATGGGATTTATTGACAATTATCTAGTTTTTTACGTTTGTAAACACTTACAGCAATCTCTCCATGCCATATTTTGAAGAGCTAGTACTTTCGGGGTTTTTTCTTCATTTGACCTTTTGAGTTTTGCTGATTATCTTCACTAAATTAATATTCATTTAAACTGTACAGTGCTTTAATATAAAAAAGAGTTCCCAACAATGGATTTAATTATATTCTATTTCAAGTCAAGAAAACATAGAAAAAGGAGCCATCATAAAACTAGCTAGCTAGAAATTATATCCAACTAATTAATACTGACACTTTTTTTGTACCATCTACAATATATATATATATATATATAGCAAGCAGGCAGGTGCACTAGCTATAAGAGATGAGAGTTAACTGCCACGTATATATCTTTGAACAGGCGCAAAACATGTGGTTTTGCATGCAATATGTTACAGAAACCACCTGTAACGCCTCCTCCTCCTCTTAACACAGAGTCGATGATCATCACCCAGCTCAAATGATTTAATTCAATAGAAGAAGAAAAAACAGCATGATTTTAATTGCTTCAGTTAATTTTAATTTTTTAATGATTTATGTTAACTTCTCCTCTTCTTAATTTGGGGTTTTTTTTTTTAACTATAATAATAAATGCATATTGTTTTGGTAAATTATTACTTGGTTGATCAATGTATATTACGTTTTCTTTTCAGTTTCATTGGAAGACATTAAGGAGGGAGAAATTATTTATTTAATAGATAGAGGCGGCCAAGTACATATTGAATTCAAGGCATACTTTGATGCTGTTCTTTTTCAGTCGTGGCATTATTAAGATGGGACCCAAAATGTAATGTCGACAAATTATAGCATCACAAAAAAATCCAATTAAGAATCATCAAATTCAAAGACTGCTACCCAATGATGGTATCTTAAGATTTTTTGAATTGTAAAATTGACAAGTGGTTTGCATGCAATCTTTCATATTAGAACCATTGCCACCACCAAAAGATTACAATGAGAGATCAACTCTTGTAAAATAAACATCGCCAGCTCAAAATGTCTTTTTCTAAAAAAAAAAAAATTAAATAAATAAATTGCCTTCAAACTCCTTTTCGTGTACAGAAAATGGTACGACTTACGAGACTAATAAATATTAGGGTTTAAGTTTCGAATTCCAGTCCTATCAACTTCTTTTTCAAGTTGGAGCTGGATATTATAAATTCTTGAAATATCCAGAATAAGACATCTTGTCTAAATCTAGGTCTCAAAAAATAAATAAAAGAAAATACCAAAAAACATTGAATATCATTTCAGTTATAAGCATAACCTTATTATTTGCTGTTAAATTTTTTAATGGGGCAGGTACTTGCATTGATGAATGAGATACCAGCCACGTCAAGAAAATACCAATTTGCAATGGCGATGGCTGACAAGATCATGGATGGAAACTTCAGAGATGGCCATATGGAACTTGCAGAAGTCAATCGAACGGCTCTTTCTTCAGCATTTGCACGTACATTAAGCCTTCTATATCGAGCTGTGCAAAACCCCCAAGCCTCAGATGATTCTTCAAATTGGACTTCACGTGTCATTAGGTCACTTCCATTAGGGTCCTACATTGCATCTTATGTTAACGGCATGAGTTATTGTTTGAGTGCTGTTATACGAACAGTTGGGAGTGGTATGTGGCAGTTGGAGAAGCGGCGGCCACGAGGTGGTGGATTTGAAGAGGTGGATGATGTGGTGGCAGAGAAGCTGGCACAGGAACTTCTTTGGATAACTAATAAGCTCAGGGATTATGGAGCTGTGGATGAAGCTTTGTTGCAATGGAGTTATGCTTCTGGTCTTGCTTCCCTTGCCCTCACTGTTAACAATAGGGTTCAAGGTTACATTGTCAAGATCTCAGGTATTTGATTCCATTCATAAATAAATTAATTATTGCACCACCTTGGCTCATATTATATATCATACTCGCAATGAGATAGATGTCATTCATGAACCCTTTAATAATTTGAGTATCTTAGCGTCTGAATTTGGTCTATCTAATGAATTTAGGTCTATATATCATAAGTAATTAAGATCCTACTTATGAATCTCATAATTTTGTGATTTTTGTGGAGTAACCGCATTGAATTAAGTTTATGCAATATTTTTCTCCAACGATATCATTTGTCATGCATCGAGTCTATCAAGTTTTATGATTGAATATTTAACCTTCTTTTTATTTTATTTTTTTCCCCTTTCTATAGCTATATTAATTGGAGATCTGACCGGGGACACTGTAATTTCAAGCCAAGTGAAGTTTGGATTGCTAGCACTTTGGCTTCCATTGTTTTGCCATGCAAACAATGGACTAGCATATCCTTACTTGTCAAGCTTTGAAAAGATAGAATTAGAGAGAGCAATGGATGAAGTGATATCAGCTTTACCTGCAATGGATCAAGAGGTGATTCTTACCAATTGGGTTCAAGATTTTGCAGTGACAGCTTCTGAATGGCCAAATCTCCAAGCATCTTATGATCGATGGTGCCAATCTACTCGTGAGCTTGCCACTTAACAGATTTACGACAATTTTATGTGGGGTTCCATCAACATCCATCAATATAAAATATAGAACTGCTAGTTCGATCCCACGTTTGTTTCTAGCCACTTTTTAATATTATATTTTCTCTTGTTGTAACAATATATTGTTTTAATGAACAAAATCATTTCCATCCATATATTAATATAACCATGTTAATAAATTTTCTCATGAAATCTTGAACTACATATCGCATCAAATCTTTGTGCTGCATTGGTGTTGGTATTTTAAAATTTAAGATTACACGTCCGTCGCAAGGCGACGTCGGTGGTGAGGTGAACATAAGAAAAATGATTAGAGTTGTCACCTAGTATTATGGTTACCAAGAAACCTAGTGATTGGTCTATTTAGAGTTTCGGATAAGGGGTTTATTACGTGTGTGGAAGATCAAAAGTCACCCTACCCCATCCCGCCTAAGGCAAGCCGCATTGCATGCAAAACCGACCGGATTTCCGATTTTATTTTTTTTTATGATGAAAGATTATGTCCATTTTTCAAGCATTTGCCTATTGGTCAAGTGATTTAGGACTTGGTCGGTCGGAGACCTTATCCTCAATTTGTAATGCATGGCTAACAAATGATGGATCCAAAGATATGTGACTAATATGACTTAAATGACAAGCATGAAAACAAAATTTAAGAATGGATAAATAGGTAAACAAACGAAGCGGATAAGTTGGCAAAGTAGGCAAACAAGCGTAAATATGTATATAAGCAATTAGGTAAAATAGGCAAGAATCGACAAACAAGCAAATAGGCAAAATGGAAAAATTGGCAAATAAGTAAAAACTCGAATAGAAAAAATAGGCAAAATCGACAAATTGATAAATGGGCAAAATTGACAAATTGGCATGAGTGGTAAGCAAGCAATTAGGCAAAATAGGCAAATTGGCAAAAATCGACTAAGTGAAAAATTGACAAATAGGCAAACAAACAAATAGGCAAAATCGTAGGCAAAATTGACAAATTGATAATTAGTCAAAAATCGATAAAATATGCAAAAATTGGCAAAATAGGCAAAAATCAATAACTTGACAAAAATAGGCTAAAATCGACAACGTAGGCAAAAACAAGCTAAAATCGACAAACTTAGGCAAAAAATAGGCTAAAATCGATGGCTTAAGCAAATATAGTCTAAAATAAAAAACGTAGGCAAAACAAGCAAAAATTGCCAACTTAGGCAAAAATAAGTAATAATCGACGACTTAGGAAAAAATAGGCTAAAATCGACGACTTAAGCTCGAAATAGGCTAAAATCTACAAACTCAAGCACATGTAGGCAAAACTTGACGGGAATTGACAATTGGACCAAAAATGAAAAAAGCACAAAAATCGATGAAATTAATTACTTTGGCAAGCATAATCAATCATATTTGACGAAATCGAGTTACACGACAACAATTCAAACTTTCTTGACTCGGTGTTGTGTTTTTTTATAAAATCACTATATGAGATACCTCTTTAAAATATACGTTCCGAACAATAAATACCCGGACGTTCAAATTGACACATCATTCATCGTCATCCCGTAAAATTGACAATGCACATCATCTCAATTCAAACAAATTGCACATGAACAAATAAATTAAATTAATTACAACACATTCATTTAATTAATTATATGACACATATCAACACGAATCAAATTTAAAACCTATTAGAATAAAAATAAAAAGTAAAAATGATTACTATAAAGAAAATAAGTCGGATCGATTCAATTGGCGGTCTTAAAGTCAAATCCGACCTTTTCAACCCCGATAGAAACCGATACTTAATCAATCGGGAAGGAAAGATGGATAGAGCGGTGGCTGCCGGCGGAGCGTAGGAAGGCCCGCTGTGTGTGGTGGTTCGTCGGCGAAAACGCCGATGCGTCTAGGAGAGGGGTCACCGGCGAGGAGCTGTCGTGTGCCGGCTCGGAGTGTTAGGCGTTTTGGGGGCTATTTTGGTGGTTTAAGGGTTGTCCGAATGGGTTGCTCTCCGAGGGTTTTTGGGGTCGTTGGCAATGGTTGCAAGGTTATAAAGGTTGTTGTTGGTGGTTGTTTTGGGTCTGGTTTTTGGGATGTGTTTTAGGGCTATCTCAACGTTGGATTGGTGATGTTTTTGGGGGCATTTTGGTGATTTAAATGGGCTATCCAAAGGGGTTGCTTTATAAGGGCTTTTGGGGGTTATTGGCAATGGTTGCGGGGTTGTAAAGGCTGCTTGTTGGTAGCCGTTTTAGATCCGAGTTTTGGGTAGTTTTGGGATGTGTTTTGAAGTTATCTCAAACTTGGATTGGTGATTTTTTAGGGTTTTTTGTTGATTTAAATGGGTTGTCCGAAGGGGCTCTATAAGGGCTTTGGAGGTCGTTGGTAATGGTTGTCCTCCTTTTTCCGTGAAGGATTTCTACCGACTTGTTCAACCAAGCTTTTGACCATTAGAACGATCCAATCTTAAACTAGTGTCTTCATAAGAATTATAGAACTCGATGTTATCTTTTCAACGTAACCGGCTTTTCATCAATTGGACTCTTATACCCCAAGATATGGGCTCCGAACCGAAAAGGCCCTACTACTAAAAAACCTCGCTAGACAAATTCTGAATTTTGAATTGTAGCACCATTTTGACTTTCAAATATTCCAAATTAGGCTTTTGACTCTTCACAATATTTTTAGGTCAGTCTATTAAATTTCAAAAAAGCCTAAGATCACCCAATTTAGACAACTCGTAGCCTAAGTTATGATCAAAATATGAAACAAGTGTGAGGGCTAGAGTGGCTCGTGGCGTATTGGCTTAGGCGAGAGGGTTGTGGCGTGTTGGCTTGGTGCGGGATGAAGGCTTGTGTGGGAAGTAGCATGAGGCTAGTGAGAGGGCATGTATGGGTAGTAGAGTGAGGTTGGTGAGATGGGATAAGGGTGCTAGTGTGAGGGAGAGAGAGGCGATTGAAAATGGGTGAAGAGTTTGTATCTGCTTGTGGCATAAGAGAAGGCTATTATGGGGGTTGCTTGTGGCGTGAGAATGGAGCTGAAGCACGTAAAGGAGCTAAAGGTCCGGGTTGGAATGGCTTATCAAAGGAAGGGGGCTATTACGGAAAGGTTTTCGGTGAGAGGGAGAGTAGCATTCATGGTGCATGACGGCTGAATGTGTTTTAGGTGAGAGAGATGAGCGATGAATCGGTTGAGGATGGGTGTGGGGGGAAGAATAGGTGTTTGTAGGGTGGTTATGGTCGTTTTTTGTCAAGGAAAGAAAGAGGGGAAAGGGGCTGCCATGGAAGAACTTTTGGGTGAGGAAAAGAGGAGGATAATGTCAACTAGAAGGGTTTTTCTTGTGAAGGTGGTGGTGAATAGTGGTCGCTCCTTTTTTGGGGAGAAAAAGGTTGTTTTTATAATAGGTTTTTTAGGGTTTTTTTTGGCTAAATGTCTTTTTGGTTCCCCATTTTATAAACCCACTTTATTTTGGTTCCTTTCTCCTTTCTTTTCCAATTGCACCCCCACATTATTATTTTTACTTCCTTATCTTTTCTTCTTTTCTTCGTTTCTTTTCTTTTTTCTATTTTTTTTGAACCAAAATTGGGTGCTAACAACGTCGTTCAAGTGTAGCATCTCCTTATGATGAGCCGATAAAGGATAAATAAAACGGTGTGTTTGTTCTTCTAAATCAATCGAATTTCACCAAAGCATTAAGTCTTAAATGAAACGATGGTGTAGTCTTATAACCAACCAAGTTTCGATGGAACATTTATTCTTAAATGAAATAGTGTGTTTGGTCATATAACTAACCGAGCTTCAATGAAATCATAAAACTTAAGTAAAACGATGCATTTAGTCTTGTAGTCGACCAGCTTTGACAAAACAATTTACCTAAAAAAATAAAGGGATAGTTATCAAATAACTATTTGTGCTTAATTTTGAATCCATAGCGAGTCATCGATCAAGAATTATTTTAAAAAAGGGACTAACGAGTCGAATACGACCAACAAGACAAGACTTTTCAATACAAGTTTATTCAAGTTTCCTAGTTTACTATGTAACAATTAGTTTCTACTTTCCTACAAGTAGTTTGATAGCTATTATTGCCTTCGGTAATTTCATCTTTATAATTTAGAAAGTGTTGATCCGTCAGCAATTGTGAATAAATGGCTTCAAATGTTTCGATAGTTAATAATGTAAATGTCATGTTTTTCAATCTATGATGTTTAAATTCTTTCTAATGAATTTTATCTCTTCGATTGATAAAATTCCTTTTATTTTATTACTTTTTCTTTAAATTGAGTACCTACAAAAAGTTCTAGTAGCTTACTAGACGAAATTGAATCCCATATTATTTCAACGTGAAGGTCTTGATCATAAATTGAAGCATCAATATACTCCATTTTGAGATCAAATTTGACGAGTAGTAATAAGTTTTGATGACCATAGTAGGAGAAGAATTTCAGAACGTGGTACTATTAGAAGTATGACATGATGTCAACTCTCCGAAGGAGACCAAATCGATGAAACACTTTCTATTGTTGTTAAAGGAATGGTCTAAATTTTTTAAGGTAAACCTCTAGTGAAAACCATGGAAAATCATAATCTCAAGAAAAATAAGGATATTGACAGAGCATAACCTAAAAAAATAATTGATAAAAGGCAATATGATAATCAAAAAAGGTTGGATGTCAAAAACCATCAAGAACATGTGGGTTCAAACAGAAATGATGGTTTCACAAACCGAAACCATGATGTTAAGGAATAAATACTTGAAGAATGGATGATTGAATTTCAACATGTGTTGTCAAATCGGATTGAAGAATTGATAAAGAGGATATATAATCCATCTTTAGATATCGACGATCAGATAAATTGACAAGTACAATTAATGTCAAACCAACTTGAAGTGGATATCAATATGATGAGGGCTTTTATAGCTAAGTCATCAAAGAAATATAATGAAAGAATTGCTAACCATACTATCGAACTATCGGATTGTATGTGATATCACGATGACATGAGTGATTA